CTTCATATTAGTGACAAACTTTGGCAATTTTTGTTGAGTTACTTTCATTTTTGCTTCTACTTTTCATTTAAAATCGGTTTCCATTCTCGGCCACTTTCTAAGGTTCGTCTTCTACATATTAAAAATGTTGTTAAACATCTGAGTGGCGCACTACTGCTACTAGTGGTGAGAAAGTGTATTGCACCTTATTCAAAATCAATGCGGTCCCGCGGCCCAAAGTTAAAAACTGTTGTTCTTTTGAGGCCCTCAAGGTGGCGCTCGCGGCCCAATATAGGTTAAGAATCTCTGGTTTGTAGATTTCCTGCAGACCGGGCTCGTTGCTCACCTCTGCAATCTCCTGTTTGTTATCAACCACCAGTAGGGGAACAGAAAGCAAGATGACTCTAAAGCGCTCAACAGCTTCTTCGAAACGCCCAGACGTGGTCAGCTGGTAGCACTGCTGCAGGCGGGAAATGAGATCAGAGAGGCGCAGCCCAACGGCAGGCAGCCCCTGCTTGGCTCCACAGTCCTGGAACCACACAGAAGAACGATCGTTAATGACACAAATGGTTTAAAGGGGACCTATTATGCAAAATTCACTTTTTAAAGGTTTTTTTACTCAACTTTGGGTATGTACTTCTTTAAAAAAACAGTCCTAGGACCAAAAAAAATGCACCCAGGGGCATATTTACTGTAAGTAAATGTATTTTTAATGTATAATGACGACAAGTTTTATACTTCGGTCATTTTGTGATGTCACAAGCCGTACGAGAACCCACCGAAAACTGCGTTCAGCCCTTTACCTAGCAACCCCCGGGTGAAGCTCCACCTCCTCAGTATAAAAAGCYGTCACCGTGTTGYTGTGCAATGCGCAGCTCATTTTACAACAAGCCTCCAATAGGGCAATGGGTAGAGGGTTGGACGAGAGAGATCAGGGTTCGAGACCGGCACGGACACATTTTAATTATTTATTTATTTTCATTCTTTATGAACACGTTTTCTCATGTACCTCTATTGTTTAGCTTATTAAAGCCTTGTTAAAGCCTATTTGTTCAAATTTCTGAGGTATTTTGACCGCTGCTGCTCCCTGCTCTGGTAACAGCATGCAGAGTGAGCGCAGAGCAGAGGAGGAGGAGGAGAGTAAAAAAAAAAAAGAAGAAGAAGAAGCTGCGACCACGACTCTGCCTCTGGGTCTATCATATGGTTGTACAACGGAGCTTCTGCTATTATTAGCCATGCTAACGTAAACGCTGGCTTTGGAGGGCACAGTTAATGCCAACAGATTTTTGGAGGGCGTTACCAACAGAGCTCATTAACATAAACAGCTCTTCTGAACGGAAGTCAGAGCAGGCAGAACTAGAAAATGGGAAATTTTATTATCTGAGAATTATTTTGTGCATTAAATTGAATGAACATGGTCTGGATAGCCCACAATGCCTGATATTTTACAAAACTGCAGCTATACCTTCCAGTTCCTGTGGGGGTGACCACGCAGACAAGGCAGCGAGGGCAGCCCCAGGTAACAGGTGCGCCCCCTGGAGAACGTCTGCATGAACAGCGTCTTGTAGGGGTCAAAGTTCACAACTCCAACCTGGTCGTGCAGCAGCTGTGGGAGGGGAAACAAAGACAAAAATAAGTAAGTTTGTGTTTGATTGGCATAAAAACATTAAAGTTACGAACGTACCCTCATAGCAGTTTCATAAGAGCCAGCCAAGATGTGGTCCACTGGCAGCTGGGAGTTGTTGCACCACATCTGGGTGGGGCTCATCCCTTTAGTAGGTGGTACAAAGAAACCGTCTTCTGCTCCTCCGCCTRCTCCAATTGCCACGTCCTATTAAAATCATCACGTAAAAATACAATAATAACTTTTTTTTTGCAAATACAACCTGTACTCCAACCTAAACTGAATTTATATTTAAATAAGTTGACACTACTGTATGGTATTTGTTGTACTTCTAGTGTCGGTTTGGATTCTCCTCTCACCAGTTCTGGAGGAAGGTCCACATCTTCATCGATGTCCCAGCCTCCTCCCTCTTCTTTCACCATTCCCTCCTCCCCTAATCCATCCTGGGCGTCTATGAAACCGTCTAAGAAAAAAAAAAAAGAGAGAAAGGACGGGTGTAATGATTATGAATACAGAACAGCAGCATGTTTGTAGTTTCTCCAGAGGAGGTCGACTTCAAAGTGAACTCGCCTTCATCCATGGTGAGCTCAGCATCATCTCCCCAGCCCTCGCCTCCGGCAGCCTCCATATCCAGATCTGCAGCCATCTGCCCTGCCTTACCTGCCACGCGAACAGAAAAATACAGGTGCCACTGGTTTGTCTGTTTGTAATCTATCTGTGAGGCAWAATGGGAGATCTGCTGCTCACCCTTTGCTGGGATGGCTCCCTCAAAGAAGCCCTTGGACACAGTGAGCAGTGGCCAGTTGGTGTCCAGAGGGTTGATGGGAGGAGGCGGCTGCAGCAGCTGTGCATTAGGATCAACCTCCGGCACCTACAGGACACAAAATACAAATTACAGTCAAGTATTTTTTGTCCAATGATGTAGAACAAAAAAAAGATGTGATTAAAGGTCATATTGGTAAATAAATCAGTTTATTCGTTTCTTTAAAAGCAGCAACATAAATTCAACAAACAATAAAAATACAAATAAATTAAATGAAAGGTAGCAGAAGAAGAAAAAAATCTTATATCTGCTCCTTTTTCTTAAATAAATAAATTCAATCAAAAATAATCTTTAGTTTACAAAAATAAATAAAGGTTTAACTCCTTGAACAACAATTCATACATTTACATATTTCTCTAGAAAATTAACCTTTGTTATTTTCTTAAATATACATATTAGTCTGGCATTTTTAATGTCATCTTCCAGATTATTCCATAATCTTATACCCTGGACTGAAGTACTCCATTCCTTTAAACTGGTTCTAAATTTGGGTTCAACAAACATCTTTATCCCTTTGAGATTATAACAACTCTCTCTTTTAACAAAGCGTAATTGAATGTTTGAAGGTAATGTGTTTTTTATGAGCCCTATACATGACTGATAAAATACCATAATTAACCAGATCTTGAATTTCAATAACTTCAACTGATGGAACAATGAATTTGATGGGTGATAGTAATTCTTACAGCTCTTTTTTGTAAAATAAATATAGGGTTTGTAATTGTTTTGCACGATTTTCCCCAAACATCAAAACAGTAGATTAAGTGTGGAACAATTATTGCTTTATATAATATAATATAAACAGTGCATTATCATTAAATAAATCCTTTACTTTGTACAATATTGCAATGGACTTGGCCATTTTTGTTCTTAAATATGAGGTCTCCATGTCAGCTTCTCATCTATGATGACGCCCAAAAACTTCAACTCTAAGTGGAACATCAGTTGTTTTCTTTCTATTACTAAATATCATATAATTAGTCTTATCTAAATTTAACGATAATTTATTAAGCTTAAACCAGGTTTGTATTTTAGCAAATTCTATCTGCATCATTTCCAACATCCGTTCTATATTTTTACCAAAACAAAAAAAATGTAGTGTCGTCTGCAAATAAAACACATTTGAACAACCCTGACACATTTACCAGATCATTTACGTATAAAATAAACAAATTCACACATATTTAAGTTTTTTCAACACACCGTCTCTTTCTCTGGGTCAAAGGTCTCCTTCAGTGCCTCAGCCTCTTCGTCCAGCCCGTGTGTGGCTGCAGTCAGGTAAGCCAGAGACTCTGAAAAGAAATCATTTATTAGTTTTAGGAATCTGGCACATTTACAGCACTGGGAAGTAAAAGACTGAACSAAGTAAAATGATGAACGAACTCACTCTGACCACAGTTCTTCAAGATCCTGACCCGCTCACTCACGTCCCCCAGATACAGAGCTGCCTGGTAGTGACCGCTCATGTCCTTTCTGATCTCAGCTGAAAATAAAAATGCACACAACACAATAAATACTACATATTAAATTAGGATTACAAAGCCTTCACTTGGCTCCTAACTCACCGATCTTCATCATCTTGCGCAGTTTGGCCAGGTTGCCAGTGATTAGATAGAGGAAGGTGAGCTTGTCGAAGTTCTTGGTCCTCTGGTAGCACATTTCCACGACCTGGTGGTGTCCCTGCAGCAGCGCCGCCTCACCCAAACGCTCCCAGCAGCTGCGCTCGTCCAGAGCCTTGGCTGCCTCCAGCGCCACCTGAAAACACCGAGAGGAGAGGCTTTTTGTGATTGTTTGCACTTTGTCCTGCAGAAAATGAGTTTYGTCGTTGCAGAAGTTTTTGATCAAGTTGCAGCATCAACCACAACCAAACCCTTAATCATTGATTTAAAAAAATATAAAAGTCTTTAAAGGTTTAATTATAACTCTCAGCTCACCTCAATGTTTCCACATTCCAGAGCCAGGCTGAAACGTGTCTTCTCGTCTTTAACAAAGTGCAGAGCCACCTCGGGGTAGCCCTTCTTCTGCAGGTATGCAATGATGGACTGACCCACCAACTTGGCATTACGCACCATGTGAAGCACCTGCAGGGACAACAGTGGAGTGATTTTAATCAGTGAAAGCAACCATGAAGGTTATTTGTTTACACACTGTAAAACAAGTTGTTTGGAACAAACCTCATCGTATTTACGATTGACCAGCGCCAGTTTGAAGCGGTACTCTGTCGGGTCGATGGTGAGAACGCGAGGCCGGCACTCTCTGTCCAGGCAGTAAACGCTGTTGCCTCTGACACGGGTGGCGTAGATGGGCAGGTCCAGGGTCCTTATGATGCCATGATCACTGCAGGGACAAATATTACTCCACGTTACTTATTTATAAATCCACATAACTGGAAACATCCCATTGTGTGAATGCTATTAAGCATTTATTCTACTGAGATCCATTTTTTTTGGTAAGTTTTTTTTTCGGCACGTATATCGTCCCATAATTTGTGCCAGGTTCAAATATTTATACATCAAAAAGTTCAACTCCTTCAGGACATTCTGGCTATGACTTCTGGTGTTTCTGCAATTTATACTTTATAAAATATGTAGCGTTTTTAGCCATTTTTGTTCTCATTGAAAATGAACGGAGCCGTCTTCAACATCCTTACAATCCTCCAAAACAGTTTAACCTTTCCTGCCTTTTGTTCTGTTTTTTTTTTTTACTTTGTGCTAATTTTAGCTTCTTTTTTGCTAATATTAGCTTTTTCCCTGCTTTTTTCAGGCATCGTTCTGCTTTTTTCAGTTATTTTGCTAATTWATTTTTTCTGCTTCCATCAGTTTCTTACAGCTAATTTAAGTTTTCTATGATTCTTCCAATTTTCTGCCATTTAAGCTACTTTGTAGCTATTTTCAGCCTTTTTTTAGCTAGTTACCTTCTTCTGACCATTTTAGCTACATCGTTCAGCCGCTTAATTCAGCAAACATGCTTTTTCTTTGTTGTGTTAAATTCAGCTTTTACAGCTATTTTTCTATTTTACATCAAATTGCAAAAACGTACTTTTTTTTCTGCATAAAATTTAAAGCATTAAGCATTCATGCTTCATTTTCGCAGAAAATGAAAGTGTTTCTTATGGCATTTATTCAATCAAATACAAAGCTATGCTTAAAACATTTCATAATTTTCTATAGATATGCAAAGCTACTGCTGGAATTATTCATAATATAATAAAATTAAATAAAAAAGATGAAACCGCCTCGACTTTCTGAGACCCAGAGTGAAAAATCTGWGCACGCCATCAGTTACCAGACACTTTGATTCTGCTGTTAGTTTAGTTAAATCTACCTTCACTGGTTTCAGTTTAACACTTTTTAAAACTAAGACATAACTGTGGTGAACGGATGAACGAGCAGCGTGGAACCGAACAGAACCTACCCAGAAGTGAGGGCATATTTGATGTGGTTGGAGGTGGTGTAAATAAAGACTCCACTCTCATCCCAGGCGCCGCTCTTCACGCGGATGTTTTCATGAATGTTGCAGAGACTCTCCAGCTTACGGTTGCAAATCATAATAGCTGCGGGGAGACGGGGAAGAGTTTTGTTCCTGTTGTTTAACTCAGAACTTGTGTTTTTGGTCTCTGCAGCTTTCATCTCAGTCCACTCACCGTGTTTAGCCAACAGGGCCACGTGGCTGGTGTCGGAGCTCCACACCACGTATTTGACCTTGGCGATCTTCACGGTGGCCAGAGAGCGCTTCTGCTGCACGTCGAACAGCGTGACGCCGTCGGCGTCGCGCAGCAGCAGGGAGCCCGTGCCGGCGTAGAAGATTTCCTCGCAGCTCGGCACCTGGACCTTCTTCACAATTTCATTCTTCAGGTTTTTAATCAGGAGCTGTGAAAGAACCAAATTCAAGGAGCGCAGATTAAAATACAGAAAACAATAAAGAGAACAGAACTTTAAACAAGCCGATAAATCAGAGAAAACATTTTTTTCAAGTAGCTTTAATCACTCGTTTCTGCACCAGGGTGGAGTCTGATTTCACAGATGAATTTCAGGTAAAAATTCTTCTAAAATAAGAGAAAATGTTTGACTGAAACCTGAAGTATCCAACCAGAAGATTAGACACTAGTGCTGGACAAAGTAATGTTCTATTCCTAAAAATTTAAAATATGGTTTCATATTTTAGGAAGGTGCAAGATATTTTAAAGGGAGGTAGAAAATGTTACAAACCAATTGTAAATCCATTTTAAGAGACATATTTGAGTTAAATTAACAATAWAAAAGATGAAACCATTTTTTCTCCCAAATTTTTGTAATTTTTAGAGACTTTTCTCATTTTCTGATCAACCTTTAAGACAGACTTACAGAGTGCATGCGGTCCAGGACAGCAAATCTGTTTCTTGCCACCCAAACTGCAGTCAGACCTGAAGATCTTTTTCCTTCAGGTGCTGAAAACAGACAGACTCCCTGTTACTTTATTCATAAAGCACAGCTCATTTAAACACTCAAATTACTCATAAGAACATTTTAAAGCAGCGAAAGACCCAAAAGTGTTATAATATAAAATATATCTATGTTTTACCATCAGGGTTCTGAGAGTCACTTTCTTTGGGAATTGAGTACAGATCATACGTGCTGTTCTCAAGGTTGGTGGCTCTCTGTGATAAAARTAGAAAGCATTAAAATAAACACAGAAACCAGAAGTTTGTTATTAATGAGAGACACTCACAGTGCAGAGCAGGACAGCATTCTCAGCAGGGTTATAAGACATGCTGAACACCGGGAACTTAGAACCACTAAAAAAAAACAGAAATTAAAAAAAAATTATTCTCACTTCTTGAATAACACTTCAGTTTGTTTTTAAACCTCTCTGCACTCCGAACACTAAACGCAGACATGAAGCACCGACCTGCGGAGCTGCATGACGGCCGTATCTTTGCTGCTGTTGAAGTCCAGCTGACGCAGGAAGCGATCCTTCACGTAGTACAGCATGTTGCCGTGAACGGCGTACGCAGGGCGCTCACGCTCCAGCTTGAACACGATCATACCGCTGTCATGACCTCGAAAACACACAAATCAGGTTGTTAATCAGAGCAAAAATCTCTGCCAGAGGAAAAAAAGGYGATATTTTTTTTACAACCAGCCAAATAATGATAGCAATTAGTGTTTTGCTGTTTTAAAACAGAAGAAAATGAGCTAAAATGACTGCCAACTGGGAAATCTTTTGGACGTGGGTTCAACAGGTACCTGCTGCAAACAGGTTGAGGTTTGGGTGGGCCCCCAGCACCCAGAAGCGATCGTGGTCGCGTCGAAAGGTTTGCACCCCGGTCCTCTTGGACATGTCCCACACACGGATACTCTTGTCCTCGGAGTTGGACAGGATGAGCTCCTGGCGTGGGTGGAAGACGGCACAGGACACGTTGTTGTARTGACCGCGGCACGTGTCCAGCTCCCACGCCTTGGACTCTAAACAAAAAAAATAACAATAATCACATTTTTAAGAGTTAAATTTTTTTTAAATTAATTATATTTAAAAAAGTGCAAAATTCTTTCTGCAAGGTTTCTGCGTTGACTGGATGAAATCTTTAGGTTAAATAAATAACGCAGCTGCCCTGGACATTTTTAAATATTTTAAACACTTAACTACAAATCAATTCTTTGTCCATTTCCTCATCTGTATCAGGAGTTACCAACAAATTCTGATCAGAGACCAAAACCTTTCTGTGCAGACTCTAGAGCAGGGGTTCTCAAATGTTTTGGGTCTGGGGACCCCTTACAAGGGTGAAAAATTTCCAGGGACCCCCCTTATAAACCCCATGCTGTTTTAAAAATTGTTTACTGTCATTTTACTTCTTAAATGCCATGGGAATATTATCTTTTGTTTGGTTTAGTATGTTTGTTTTACTAGTATATTGTTCCCCGTAGGCATTTTTTTAAATGAAAATCAAATGGACATTGAAATTTTTGAGGACCCCCAAGATATGACTCGCAGACCCCTGGGAGGTCCTGGGACCAGAGTTTGAGAACCTGTGCTCTAGAGAGTTTGGCCTTTGATGCAAAAAAAATACACAAATTATTATCATAGACGACAAAAATAATATTAATGATACTTGCAAAGTGAGCCGTTTTGTTTTAGACTTTGACAGTGACGTTTCTTTTTACATCCATATTTTCTTCATAACTTAAATTGATGAGTTTTGTTTATAAATAACAGTTTTGTGATTTTGCTCAAGTCACTGTACAATAATGTTAAATAAAATGTAACCCTGACAATTTAAATATTTTAAAATATCAAACTAAAATGGTTCCAGGCTGCCATTTACTGATCACTGTTCTACATTCTAGCTTATGAGTAGAGCTAAAAGATGAAGAACAGCAGCTACAGATGGATGTGCAGTTTCAGATTGGCCACCAGGAGGCAGCAACAAACACCATGAGCTCACAACAGGAAGTGTGTTCTTGTGCTTTAATATGCTCGAACATTAAAGATCGTAACTCGAGCCGAGTCTCTCACCGTTCATTCTCCAGATCTTCACCTGCCGGTCGTCGGCTCCGGACACGATGAGGGGCATGCTGGGGTGGAAGGCAGCCCAGTTGACGCCGCGGTCATGACCCTGGATGCAAAAAGACACAAGTCGGAGAAATCCAGAACAATTAAACTGGATCTTAAACCAAAAACTGAAGACTATCCCCTCTAGAAGTACACGCCTTTTGATAACTGGAAAATCTAACAAGATTAATACCCAAGAGAAACYATTACATTGTCGAGTTTCTTTATCATGATTTTTGTTTCATGTATAACTTATTTTATTTTTCTCTTCACACAGGCAAATAGATCTGTGATCTCAGTGCTTAAACAAAAAGCATATTTAAAAATATGTATTGCTTATATAGCTGGCATCAGTCACTATAAATTTTAACCGTACTACAAAGCTTTGCTGAAATCTTGTCAGAAAACAAACCTCTTACACTAAAAGTTGAGTCTGTGAGAATTTACAACATTTACACATATATATATATATATCACACATCTACAAGAAGTTTACCTCAAGGACGTGCTTCACAACAGCATCCGAGGCACCGAAAAGGTCAACCCCAGTGATGCCACGAACATCCGTCTCCACAGCGCCGGGAGACAAGTTCTTCTTCCTCAGACCTGGAACCATCATCATTTACAGATACACCACAGAAGAGGGGAGAAATGGAACAAAAACAACAAAACAAAACAGAAATGATTTATAAAAACATTAAAGATGGAGTAAAATCATGGGAGAGGAAGTGCATCAAATGAGGAACAAAGAGCTGTTGGGCTGCTGAACACACACACGGTCGAAACACCAACACAGCCTCTGATTTTTATTAACTCGAGTCAAACAATCATCGCTTCAGCAACACTACTGATTTGGTTATGTTGATTCGGTTAGGGAATCAGACAGCCGAGCAGAATCGAGTCAAACACCGAAATGGTATCAGGAAGAYTGCGTTGATGATTTCAGTCCATTTCAAGATGTCGTGGTGAACAGACAGCTCGACAGAGGGAAAGGCACGGCACTAGGAACCTATGTGCAGGTATGGATGTTTCCGAGGAGCGCGTGGGATGAGGACGGCACAGTGTGCGTGGGCTCGGCTGATGAGAGTGGGGTGGGCGGCAGGATTGTAAAGACGTGCTCTGATGGGGMGTTTAATGTCAGAAACATGAGAAGGAGAGTTTAATTTATGGCAGAAAGCGTGTTTAGTCACATGCACCGTTAGCATTTATGGGTTAGCATTAAAGCTACATCGTCTTCAGCCATTCTGTAGTTTTAACTTGAGCCAAACATGCAGGCATCTTGGGTATAAAGGAACTATTTTCTTATCGGCACTAAATGTTCAATCTTGTTAGTAGTCACTGTTCTAATGGTTTAAGGAAATTTAAACTGGAGGGTAAAAAAAAGCAGTAGTGGCGTCTATAAAGCGAGTGTGAATGCCGAAATCTGGACATGCTTCCAGCGTGGAGGGTKACCGGTGAAACTGTACGGGGTGCGGTTAGGTCATGCGGTTCAGAGTTTATAAAAGACAAACGCAGTCATGCTCACACCACAAACATTTTARAGACATAAAAGGACAAGTGAGGGTCACAGTTCAATACATTTTGCATGTTTTTGATGCTTAATATTTTTTAAAAAAGCAAATAAATTGTTCAGTTAGTGCAAAGACACAAGAGAAAAAACATTAAATGTTTAAAAGCATGCAGAGGCACAGAAACACTTCTATTAAACATGTATATTTTACCACACCAAATCATATGAAATTATTATTTCAATGACACAGTGCAGCATTTTCTAAAATTGGCGGTACATGTAGAAGTGTTTCTGCYAACAGCCCACAGAGATCTGTCCTCTACAAACTGGGTGAGAGAACGAAGAGGTTCAGGACTTGTRTTCACTCTGTTCCTGACTTCTTCTTCCTCCCCCAGTTAAACCACTCTGCCCCCCACCCCTACCCCAAACCCAGCCCACTGTCCACTCTGGTCTGTTCTCCCACAGGCCCTCACCGGAGATATCCCACACTCGCACGGTCTGGTCCAGACTGGCCGACACCACCAGGTCTTCGGACGGGTGGAACTGGGCGCACATCACATAGTGGTTGTGTCCTGTGAGCACACTGTGGGCGACAACAGAGAAACAGACAAATCCTAATTTCAGTGTTGGTCTTTGCAGCCAGTGATTTTTTTTTTTTTTAGTGTTATTTTTATTGTGGTTGCGTCTTTTTAAAACTCTTCTGTAGAGGAAACATTTTTTCACCAATATAAGAACATTTTTTTAATTATAGTTGCAAAGTTTAGATCTTTAGGAGTAAAAATGGCTCAAAAAGATGCTCTCAGCTCCTTCAGTAAGTGCCACTTTGTTTTACGCATTCGTTCTGCAGTTAGTTGGAATTTTTGACATAATACAACATTTTATATAAAACTTTATTCATTTCATAAGACATAAAACATAAAACAAAATTCTATGTACAATAAAAAGAAAATACAAATAAAATGAAAGGTGGCAGAAAGAAAAACAACCTTATATCTGCCCCTTTTTTCTCAAATATAGATTCAAACTATAATGCTCTTCAGTTAACAAACAAAAACATTGAAACTTTCTAAGATAAAGTGAATGACTACATATTAAATCATTTTATATTTTTTTAACAGTCCAGTCTTTATCATTCTCTTAAATAAGCACATTGATGTGGCACTTTTAACATCATCTTCTAAATTATTCCACAGTCTCACTCCTTGAATTGCGGTGCATCGTCTTGACTCGACTATGTCAAATTAAATATGTTTAAAATGTGAGAASGATTAATACAACAGTGATGAATGTCTGAATACTGTCACTTTGACAGGCTGAATTAGTCAATAATGCTATTTTTTATGACTGAAAATGGCYTCAATGCATTTTATTGGGTTTTAGATTTTGCATTCATAGTATTAAGAATCCTTTATTTAATCTACCGTAATATGAACCTTGAACTTTTTTTTTTTTACTTGACTCTTACCACACACAGGTCCTTGACTGCCAGTTCCAGATGCGGATGGTCTGATCATCTGAGGCACTCAGAATCCAGGGGTATTCCTACAGGTAARATTAGAATTCACTGAAACTCACTTGGACCACAAACAAATGTTTTTTTCATTACTTTTTCCGTTTTGCTGCTCACTAAGCATGCAGATATATGAGATGGTCTTTGCAAACAAAAGCATTTTAAAAAAAACTCCAATTTTCCTTCTATGAGCAAAGAATTAAGTCACATACGTCAGCTGAGATGACATAAAGCTAACAACTTTGGATCAGGTCACAAAAGACGCACGTTAAAACCAGACGTGTGTCAAAGTGGGACTCACATGATGAAAGAATGTGGTTCTGATGTAGTCCAAGTGTCCCAGGAGGGTGAAGAGGCAACGTCTCAGTTTGTAGTTCCATACCTGGATGAACAGCGACATTTAATATTTAACATGTGATTAAATGTTAAAAYGTAAATGCATGCTATAGCAAGTCTCACCTTGATTTTATAATCATCTCCTCCAGACACAAACAGAGGCTGCTGTTTATGGAAATCAATACCTCTGACAGGACCTGCAAGCAAAATCATAATGGATGCATTTTATTTCCATTTGACAAACCGTAAATATCACTTTATATCGCCCACGTCACTCTGTCTCACCATCATGTTCATCAAATTTGTCGATCAAGGTGCACATTCGATAGTCCCACAGCTGGATTACACCGTTGTGCAAGCTTGCAAGAACCCATGGCCTTTTAGGATGGAAACTCAGGCCTGARATGTAACATAATTGTATCAGACACAGACTTTGTTAGTGCTATGACACCACGTTAGTTACGTAAACGTCATGTAAAGCAAAATAAATTCATATAAATGTAAATTATTTCTTAATATATAAACATTTTTCAATAGTATACTTGGTGTCATTAGAACAAATGTATCCGAAAAACATCGCTCTGAATAAATAACAGAGTAACGCCCGCTAGCTAAAGTTAGCTTCTGTGCTAGCTGAAACGCTTACCTTTGACTCGGGCCGACTTCGTCTCAAATTTAGTTAACATCCTTACTGTTCAACACTTCTGCTCCTAAATCTTAAATGTATACTGAAAAAAACATTAAACTGAACAGAGAAAATGTTACAGGCAGGTTATTTCAGAGACGCGTATCCTTCGCCCATTAGCCGACTCCTCTTTTTCCTGACACGTAGTCCGCTTCTGTCTTCCGGTTTTGAACAATAAAGTTTTAAAGTRAAATTTTGACGCAAAAAGCTCCACGGCAGCGCTGCATAGAAATACACAACATAGAATGCACTTGCGGTGTTATTGTTGTCAAATTGTTGTCAAAATCGCTCTAACTTAACGATGGCTTTGTTTTTGAGATTATTACTTACAAAAGCGAAGAAACCGTGTCATACATAAAAAATAAATAAAAATTATGAATGTTTTTTAATTTTTATCTCCAACTATAACATAATTATTTCAGCATTAATTTGTACAAGGCCAGAACTAGATGGTTGTGTTCCATTAAAATTCACCTGGTCAGTCACTACCTGTCATCCTAGAAAACCTAGAATATATTATTTAAAAAATGAGTCATAGGTAATACTTGAACCAGTTTTGTAAAACTGTTTTATTTACTGAACAATTTGATCTATAAATAAGCAAAAAGATGTGCATGAATTATATTTTTTCATTACTAATGTATGAGTAATAATGACAAATAATCCATGTTTAATTATCAGTTTTATTTCATATTTACAAAGCAAAGTAGTGTTAAATTACAAGTCTTTATTTTTCATGACACTGGGGTTTTCATCGTCCTCCAGAGCTGATGGGCTCWAACTCCCACCCCGTGATGAAACCTTCACAGCTGATAAATCTGATATCTTTTCAGTGCATAGCTAAATCCTTTGACAGCACCCTTTCATTGTGCGGTTACTGGTGGTCCCGTCATTTCTGGACGCCTCTCTCGCTCTCTATTGTAACGGAGAGGAAGCTTTGTCCGCAGGCGACAGCAGCTGGTTGAAATCTGGTCGTAAACAAACCCAGCGACCAGAGCCAGAAAGTGCTCACGTCCAACTCTGACCCTCAAGTTTTCTGGAAAGGCCGTGTGCTCCCATCCTTTTCAAATGATTGTTTTCACTCTGGGGATGTTTTTGTCTGTTTTTTTTTTTCTACAGGGAGTCAACACCAAGACAAACCATCACTGCACTTTACAAACTCTGGGAAATCACACTTTGCACAGTAACTCAACACGGTAATGATCACTGTAAGCACAGCAAAGGCATCCGGGAGTCACTTCAAATCAATACGAGGGAGAGAAATGGATAAAGGTGCTGAAAACCTTCCACTCTTCAATTTATCAAATATTTAGAAAAGGTGCAGTTGCCAGGTTAATAATTAGCTTAGGCTTAATTGCATACAAAACAACATCGACTTTGTTAGCGATTCTTCAAATTCATATCATGTTAAAACTATATTCTGGATTGCTTACCTCAACTACATCCTCTTTAATTTCTAAGACCTATAAAATAACTTAAAGTCTTTATGAAAAGGCACCATTTAAACCTGTGACGTGCAAGAATTTACTGTGAGGCTAAACAGGAAGTTAAATCAACAAGGACAACAGCAGAGGTCATTTMCTGTCAAATGAAGAGCGGAGGAGCGGCTGCAGCTGCCGTTTACTCATTCTAAACGATTTTAGATCAAATTAKGTGGTTTTGGTGGCTCCTCCTGTTGATTCTACACCTCTTCTGCTTGAACAGTGTCTGCGGTCTGGCCACACTCCTGCGTCCCTCCCTGCTGCTAAAAGACGCAGAGCGACTGTTTGTTTTGGCTCTGGAACATCTGACGGACCACGCCGCCGCCGCCTCGTCACATGACGGAGCACTGCTCGGCTGGTCCGGCTCCGGAGACCCCTGGGAGGTTCAGGGACTCCATGTCGAAGTTGAAGCCAGGGGGCTGAGGAGGGAAGGAGAAACAGGAAATMTAGAGAAGTGTAGAAACAACATTTAATGCGACCAGAAGCTGAACTGCAACTTACCGCATCTCCTGCCAACTCTTTAGGCGGCTGACCCAAGTCCTGCAGCTGGACRGAAAAGAAACTTGATTATTTATCCATTTTATTCTTATTTTTTATTATTTACATTTAAAACAAACCCCACAGTTCTGCTTCATGCAACGTCTCAACTCCCCTTTCAATCCAAAATGAATCAATCCACCAAGTTTGTAGCAAAAAGATAATTTAATGAATATTTAAATCATGTGCAAATCTAAACACAGAGTTTGAGTGTTTATATCAACAGCATCAATGCAAGAGAGCAAAACTGTGTACGTTTTATGAATTAAAAACAGCTACGTTTACAGCAGTTGTCCTACATTCATTCTACAGTTTGACAAATATGCAACCAGAAATATTCATCTTCAACCAAAAGGACAACATTTACGAGGATAGGGCAAATATTTGCATTTATATTTGTGCACATTTGTTTTTTTACTGAAGCTATTTGACAAATACTTATTTATGTATGACTATTTAAGATTATAGCAACAGAATACTCAGTCCAAATGTTTTATTTTGAATAAAAAAAATAGTCTAAATAAAAATGATTTTTTTTACCAGAACAATCGATAAATAATTGGACCGATTAATCGTTATAATAATCGTTAGCTGCAGCWCTAACAGAGTCTGATATTTCTAAAATATTCGTTGATCTGTGTGTGTAATTGTTTCTACTACAAAGCGAGGACCACTTGCAAAATAGTTACTATCAAAGTGAGGTCATTTATGTAAAGCAGGGCTACTCAACTGGAGGCCCGCAGGCCACATCCGGCCCGCGAGTGACCAAAGTTCGGCCCGCCAATTGGTTCATTCATCTCTTAAGCCCAAATCCCCAGTTATCTTTTAGTTAGACATAGGCGTGTGTGGTGTCAGAAACATCAGAGTCTTGGCTACAAGCTGGTAAAAACATTTCTATGAACATCTAAGTCAAAACTACAAGCAGAAACTGTGAAAGTGAAAATAAAATTAGTTTAAAATTTGGCAAGTCAGAGACGTCAAAATATTTGTGTTAAATAGGAGGCAGAATGTGTTATTTGTTTTTGAGATTGCTTTATGATAATAATATTACTTCTAATATGCTCATAAAAGTAATAAATGATATTATTATCACTACTTTTATTACATAGGGTTCTATGTTGTATTCATGATTAAATGCAGCAAAAATAAATTATATCAAAGGTAATAGATCTTTGTAATACTTGGTTTATTTACATAAGGACTTTAATTGTTGGATGTTCAGCCCCTCAGCTGTTGGCCTGCACTGACTGCTTTGAATAGCTATGATGTAAAGTGAGGATCTTGTCCGAGTCGTCACTGTTTTTACAGCTCGACTGCATTATACTAGTTAGGTTTAGAGGTACGGTGTGAATTAAGTTCTGGTTCAGGTTAGGGTTAACTATAGACCAGTAATGGTTAATTTTACTAGTTAGGTTTAGAGGTATGATGTGAATTAAGTTCTGGTTCAGGTTAGGGTTAACTATAGACCAATAATGGTTAGTTTTAGGGAAAATGTCTGGGTTAGGCATAAATACAGTTACAAAAATTAATGGAAGTCAATTCAATGTCCTCAGTTCGATGCAAATACAAAGATGTGTGTGTATGTGTGTGTGTGAGAAGAAGCTGACCTTCTGCATCAGGTCCATGATGCTCTCAAACGTCTTCTCTTTCTCTTCAGCTCTCTCGTCCTCGCCTTCGAACAGCACACAGATCTCTGCCATGATGTGAGCCTGCTGCTCGTAGCGCTGGTGGTCCTGAGCGCTGAGGCTCGGCTTGTTGGCCTCCAGCCACTCTGGGTACTGGGAAGGAGAGCAGCAGTTACTGYGGATGTTACAAAAGGAGGAAAACGTGGCAGGAACAGAGGCGGAACCTTGGTGCTGATCTCTTTCAGCGATGGATACAGCACTTCTTTGGAGAGAAGATTCTGCATGATGGACTGCATGATGGGCAGGATGTTTCCGTCTTCACCTCCTTCTTCGCCGCCTTCGTCCAACCCGAGACCCTCCAGAGCTTTCACCAGGTCATCTCCAGCTAGCCCCGAGGACTACAAGAAAACACGACTGAAACATCTGCATTTTTTTTTCCTGCCTAACGGTTTCAGAATAATCCTTCCTGTCTGACTCGACACACCTGCAGGTTGTCTGCGTTCTTGGCGAGGCCTCGAAGCGTCTCTTTGAGACAGGAGGTGAATTCTTGTTGGGAGGCCGTGTCGGTGCCTGAAGAAAACACGCGGGAAGCATCAGAGGTACGAGACAAACGCGGTGGCGATGAAAAACAAAAACCCTGCAAAGAGCAGTTCGGTCTTACCGACTTTTCCCGCCGCTTCCGACAGCTTCTGGAAGTGCTGCAGCAGCTCCGGTTCCTCCTGGGCCAGCTCCGTCATGGCCTTCTCCCACTCTTCTTTGGCCTGAGCGGCCATGCCCCCCTCGAAGAGAGACTCGAAAAGCTTGCAGTCCTCAAGCAGAGGGGGCTGCAGGTAAAAAAACAACAAAAAAAAAAAAACACTCAAGACCTTCAACTTTTATTTTTACGTGACACTAAGTGCAAAAATGTCAAGTGAAGAGAAGCGGTCCGACGCCGAAGCTGACCTTCTCTGCTCCGCCGTSGGCTGATGATGAAGCTGCAGCAGGTTCAGGGGGCGGAGGAGCTGGTGCCTTGTCAAAATCATCCAATGCACCTGARGCAAAGAGAACCCATCAGAACTGAGCCTTACACTGCTGCTATGACAATTAAATACTGTACATATCAAGCAAACAGACCTAAAAGGTGATAAAAATTTAGGTCAGTTTGCTTTATGTAGCACACTTTTTACAGATCTAAACTAAAAGTCCTCTTCAAGTACCTTATATTAGTCTTACATGCTAATTGTAATCCTGAGGTATTTTTAAAAGACCTGCTGTCACATAAAAACAAYTGTCAGTTAACGGTCACACAATAAAGTGAGTCAAAAGACGTAAGTAATCCTTATTTAAGGTTCCGAGCTGTTTAAGCTATAACAATAAACCTGCTTTTATTATTATTATTATTATTATTATTATTATTATTATTATTATTATTATTATTACTAAAGCCGCCATGATGATCGGCTGCTCCAACTGTCAACTAACATTCGGTCCCTCAAAGACCCTGATCGAGCGCCTGAACTCCGGACACCGTCAGACCGACGGTACCGGGCCGCAGCTACAAACTAGTCACATCCCAATAAGCATCAACAAAAACCGGATCAACCGTGTGTCAACGCTCACTGTCCAACAATTCGTCCAGTTCGGCATCGTGTCCGCCGGATGACTCTCCACCAGTTCCCGACGCCATGATGATCTGTAAACTGGAGCGAGCGCGCGGCCCCGAAAACTCACGTTTTACGACAAAATAYAACGTCACACTGTCGTAAAGTAAAACGAGTCTGGCGCCATCTTGCGGATATTACTAGGGATTACAACACGTGAAAATTAAAGCCCTTTAAACTTTTCTTATCAAACACTGTTGGCTATTTATTAAATGTTTTTTGATCGAGTTTCTTTCTGAAATAGCTTTTAAATTAAATGATCTAGCAGGAATTAAAATAATATTATCATTAATAAAATAATACATAAAAATATATATTCTTCAATCCAACTGTGATTATTTTTTTTAAATTTCCTTAGAGTCTTTAAACACATTTTGGCATTTCTTGACTGCTAAATCCAAAATATCATGACAAAAAATTGTGCTTTTTGAGGTACGGCTGAAGCCTATACCTAAAAGCTAAAAATGGCTTTAAATGCCAAACATAGAAAAGGTTAAAAGTAGCAGAATGGTAGCTAAAAACTAAAAGTAACATACAGGGAAAAAAAGAAAAAAACAATACTTGAAAGGATTAATATAACTTTCGGTTACAATAAAGTCACATTTAAAAAAAGGCAGTGCAGCAGTTTCTTAAATAAGCTAAATGTTTTGATATATGAACAGCACCAATTGTGCAAAACTAGATTGAAAAAAAACTGGGTCATCATTCACGCAAGCATTTTTTAATCAGCAAGTTGCAGAGCTGTTTCACGTCTTTCTAAATTAAAAAAATGGGGAAAAAATTAATAGTTTGATCTCATCTTTTAAATTTTTTTTTTTCATTTTTCTTAACTTTTCCTTAGTAGTTTTATTAAGCCAGGTAGCTTTATTTACTTTACTCTCAGACTCATCGATGAGAAACTTAAAAAAAGTTTCAACAGTCTAATCAGAACGTTTACGTGACGACATATTTCCTCTGCTTTCAGTCAGGAAACACATCAGCTTCAAACTCAGGACACACTGATTGCCAGGGGCAACCGCATCTGTATGTAAACAATACATACAGAGGAAAAAAACTTGTGATGATTTAGGGGCGTAGAGTTGACGGATGTTTGGCTTGTTGTCAAGCTGTGGAGATGACAAAAAGAAACATTTTATTATCTTTACCAATATATTTTTTAATAATAATAAAATCAGAAGCAATGGTGATGACAGGACGGATATGTTTTGTATAACTAAATGTCACAGAATGAAATAACATTAAATATTATTTTTTTTATTATCAGTTTGATAATGTGACTTGTTAATAAAAAGATAAATTATTTGCCTTTTTTGTGTGGCTGCAGGGAAAGAGAAATCACACAGGAGGGAGTTCTCTTCACCAGAGGCAGCTGAGGCCCTCAGTAGGAGCAGCAGGAGGAGGAGGAGGAGGAGGAGGGGCACCTCAGACAGATGTGAATAACAGTGTAGATCTCCCATGCCTAATTTGGTTTTCTGGGCGGGGAGCTGCTCCTCTGGGCTGCTAGTAAATCCAGACTTTAGGTTGAAAACTTTACAATCTGCAGCTCTGTGCTCCTGGTTGTTCTGGAGAAACAAACGTCAGGAAGGTAAGAAACTCCTCAAAATGAAGCAACGTGTGGATTTTTGTGGTTCCTTTACAAAGAGGGAAAAGATTTTCATTCATCCTGTTCCAACATTTTCACATTCTTCCTCAGGAGAAGGAAACATTTGCTTCTAGACTGTATTTATGTGTGAAAGAAATTAACAAAATTTCCACACGTTTTAGAGATTTTAGAGGAAAAAGTCTATATTTTGTTAACGTTTTAGGCTTGCAACAAGTTTAAATTAAAAAAAGAAAGAAAAGAAGAATTTTGTTATTCCACGTGTTGAACATTTTTCCAAAATTCCTATGTGTTTTAAACATTAATTGTAAAGCTTGGTTTAATTATTTAATAGTCGTAACATTTGTTGTTTATGTCACTTTGTGTTTATGTTGGGAGCTGGGAGTGGCAGCCTGACAGGCACCATGCACATTGATTTTTTTTTCTTAAATAAATATGAGATTATAGATGTTTCAGTGCTCATTAGCTGCTCAGTGCATCTGTTTTTTTTAAAATAAAATAAAGTAAAAAATATTAATAACCTTTTCCTCGCTGAATCTGGGGGCTTCAGTGTTGTTTTTGTGAAGGGTTGGTCAAATAAAGCAGCAAAAACATTCTAAATATAGTATTCAGCTGCACGGATGGAGCTTTTTAAAGGTCAGTTTTGTTTAAAAAGAGCTGAAGCAGCTGTCCAGGTTCATAACACAACAAGCCCTTCGCTCTGCTCCTCCAAATCTAATCAGYGCAGATTAGGATTTGTTGTCTCAAACTGAAGAATATTGTATTTTCTCCTGTAGGCAGTCGCAGAACATTTGTCGTTTTTATAGTAACATTAGTTAGAGACAAACAAAGATTGTGACTTTTTATCCAGTTGTAGCGGGAAAATATATAAGATGAGTTATTATGACACATAGGTTTGAACTGTGAAACATTTGTGTGTGTGTGTGTGTGTGTGTGTGTGTGTGTGTGTGTGTGTGTGTGTGTGTGTG